TCACTTGGAGTTATCCGGAAGAAGACTGAGTTAATAAGAAAGAACTATTGATAGTCCAGAAAGGATTTGGAATAAAAAGACAAAATTAAACGCATGTTTGGGAACTTAGTGAGAAATTCCAGTGAGGAGTTCAAAGCAAAGCAGGAAGCAAAATGTTTAACACCAATGTGCTGATAGGTAGGGAAAGCGGCCACGAAATGGGGACTGGAATCCAGTAAGGGCAGATTATTTTGTGAGTAACTCTCGGGGAAGGACTCGAGGCTTGCCTGACAAATGTTCTGATTCTACAAAGCTTAGAGTGATGACTAAATGTATTTGACAGAATCATGATGTCTAAGGGACAGGATTTCTCAGCACAAGGATCTAAACACAAGAATGTGCTTGCAGTGGTTTAAATGTAATGTAAGCCATTTAAAAAATGACATGGCTGTAAGATTTGATCCACCCCAAAAGTCTTAGAATGTCCCAGGATAAATGTGGAAATGTGTGTTTTTGCCATTAAAATGGTAGTTTAGAAGCCGAGCACTTTATCTGATGAACATCAGCAATGGCTCTGGGCAACTGGCCCAAGTACAAAAACAATGATAAATTGCAATAATAAATTAAGATGATCCCAAGCAGGGGATCCAGAGTGTTGAGAATGTGGGTAGTGCTTGGAGCTGCAATGAAGTACTCTCTGAGAACTTGGATATAAGATTTCTCTTTGAGAATTATAGAATATTAGTTTAAGATGTGTTACATTCATTTATGTTGTGGAATATTTGTTTAATGATGTAAAGATGTGTTGCATTCTTTTATGTTTGCATTTGTTTAACTCTGTGAAGCTGTGTTACTTTGCCTGCTGAAAACACTGGATTGGTCCAATAAAGGGCTGAACTGCCAACAGCTAGGCAGCAGAGAGGATAGGTGGGGCTGCCAGGAAGAGAGAATAAATAGAAGGAGAATAAATAGGAGGAGAAATCTAGGAAGAAGAGCAAGAGGAGCGAGGAGCGAGAAAAGGAGAAGGAGAGGAGGATGCCAGGGCCCAGCCACCCAGTCATACAGCCAGCCATGGAGTAAAAAGGAAAGATATATAGAATAAAGAAAGGTAAAAAGCCCAGAGGCAAAAATGTAGTTAAAGAGAAATGAGATAATGTAAGTTGAAAAGCTGGCTAAAAAACAAGCCAAGTTAAGGCCCGGCATTTATAAGTAAGAGTAAGTCTCCATGTATTTATTTGGGAGCTGGGTGTCAGACCCCCAGAGAGTTCAAAACAAAAACAGAAACAACAACAACAAAAAACCCTAACTATAGAGAATGAAATCAATGTAGTCTACTTGTATGAATGGGATTAGCCAGCTCAGGGCCTCAACAGAAACAGTCTGTAAGAGACTGCACAGGTGAGTTGAAACTGAGGCTTGACTATGACAGCAATAGGGAAGATGGAATATAATCAATAACACTATTCACTCTCCAAAAGTCAGAGCAGAGACTTGGTCAGAACAACAGGAGACATAAAAATTCTGATCCACACAAGTTATCATTTTTATTATAAATAAGTTATTGTTGTAACTTATATCAAAATTGTATTTATATAGCACAATTTGTATAGCTTTCCCCACCTGCCGACAAACTGCGTTTTGCTGACCACTAATTTAAGGGTTTTATTCAGGATGTCACGAGGTACAATCTTTCCCTGACATAGACACCTTCCTTACCATGGAAAACCCACAGATATTAAAAATATTTAGCTGGAAAGAGAAGCCATAGGTGAGACTTGACAATTGTTTTTCAAAGGTTTGAAGTTTTTCTCTTAGGAACGGAGGCTGGACCTTAATGGCTGAAAACAGAGACTAGAACAAAAAAATGAGTAAAATGTTTGAGTAGCAAGATTTCTTCTGGGTAAAAGGAGGAATGTGGTATGTCTTAGTTTCTTTTCCTGTTGCTGTGATTAAAACTCTGACAAAAGCAACTTTGGGGAGAGAGGGTTTACAATATGGGTCTACAATTCAAGGCTACTATTTATCATGGCTGAGAAGTTCTGGTGGAAGGAACTTGAGGCAGCTTGGTCTAGTTGTATCCAAAGTTAGGAAGTAGAAAACAATGAATGTCTGTGCTCTGCGAGCTTTCTCCTTTTTAGAAGTCTAGAACCCAAGCCCAAGGAGTGGTGACAACCATTATTAGGGCTGGTCTTTCCCACGTCAATTAATATAATCAAGGCAATTCCTCACAGACACGCTCAAAGATAAACCTAATCTAAATGATTCACATGAGTGCTTGGAGAGTTGTCTCCTAGATGATTTCAGATCCTGTCAAGATGATAATCAACACTAGTCATCACACACAGTAACTTTTAACTTCCAACAGTTGTTGGAAGAGTTGTGTCTTTGTCAAGATTCTTTTTTTTCCCCGTTTTCTTCAAGACAGGATTTCTCTGTGTAGCCCTGGCTATCCTGGAACTCACTCTGTAGAACAGGCTGGCCTTGAACTCACAGATCCACCTGCCTCTGCCCCCGACCCACTGCCCAGTGCTGAGATCAAAGGCATGGGCCACCACCACCCAGGAAGATTCTTGAATTATAAGCAACAGTAGAAGTCCAGACAAGCATAAAATGATGATGATGATGACGGTGCTGGTGGTGGTGGTGGTAATAGATGGTGCACAGACTTGAGGCAGCGCTGAAGTACCTGATCTCAGCAGAAAGAGTGGGCAACACCGACACAGTTTTAGAGAACATAGAAACGAAGTACTATCTCTTCTGCCTACTAACACGATAAATCACTCCCTGCTGATTTCTTTCTTGGAATTGCTAGGAAACTAAATTCTACTTGCTAATCTTAGATGAAGGATCTCACTCTTTCCCATCCTTCTGTTAGTAGCAGAGTTGGAGCCTTGCTCAAGGCCTCATCAAAGTACCTTGTGATACTACAGAGTCAATAGTTAACAAAGAGAAATTTAAGAGGGAGAAAAACAAAACAACAACTTTCCCAGCCTCACGATTCAGCAAGCAGAAGAGGCCATTTGTCAGGAGTCCCGAGGAAGAGATGGGTGCTGGAGAGAGGTTGGAAAAGACAGTTCAAAAGGAAACTGCTAGCTCTGTTCGTGAAGAAGAACTGAGAGTAAGAATTAATTACCATGATCCAGGGGCATCAGGAAACAGCCAGACTACAAGGGAGACCTGGGCCACATCCTAAGGAATAGAATTAACACAGCTAATAGGCAGGTCAGCCAGGTCGGCACAGCGGACCAATCAGAGAAGGAAAAGGAGTGGCTGGCTTCCACTGCTCCCTGGGGCTAGCTGGAGGAAGAGCAGTGAGACAGCAGTTAGCGAAGAAGAGTCTGGAACTGTTGGCTAGGTGAGGTGCTGGTTAGAGGACTTAGTCCCCGCTGCCCTCCTAATGATATGTTTGCTGCTAGACGTAAACGGCACCTTCACTGAACCAGTGGGGGACACGGAACAGGCCCAGTCCTAAAGTCCTGACATCTGTGAGGCAGGCTGAAAGAAACAAAAGAAAGCACAGGCCACTAGTGACCTCTGGTGGAAACAGCACAGGCTTTCGGGAACTTGGCCTGAGTAGGCTTGGTTTTCCAAGAGAGATGAATAGCAATGACCTGTTGGGGCGGCGGTGGAGGGGTGGGGGGTTTACCTTCTAGAGGAGTGGAGGAGGGAGCTGCTGGAAACAGCACAGGAACACTACCCAGAGCGTGAAAATGCACTAGCAATGCTCCATGTTTTGAGTCAGAACACGCTGACTAATGGTCTGGCAAAAAATAGGAACAAGTAAACTGCTGTCAAAGAAGGATGTTAGGGCAATGACCTTGTTGGCCAGTGGGGGAGTTGGTGCATTAAGAGTGAAGAGGAGGGTGCTGGAGAGATGGCTCAGTGGTTAAGAGCACTTGCCTGCTCTTCCTGAGGTCCTGAGTTCAATTCCCAGCAACCACGTGGTGGCTCACAACCATCTGTAATGGGATCTAATCCTTCTTCTGATGTGCATGAAGACAGAGCACTCATGAAATACATAACTAAATCTTTGAGAGAGAGAGAGAGAGAGAGAGAGAGAGAGAGAGAGAGAGAGAGAGAGAAGCAAGCGAACATGACGCCAGGCATGTGGAGAAAGCCTCAGCACTTGCCGGAGCTCCTTTTTATGAGTCTTACAATCCGCACACATGTCAGTGTCTCAAGTCCCACAACTTCCCCCTCCCAATGGGTGTCTGTGCTAAGTGTGGGCAAACACTATTGAGTCGTGAGGATGTGGATGTGACAGGTGCTTAGCGCTTGAGGTCTTTGAAGCGGGACTAATCTGCAGGAAGGTCCAAGCCCAACCAGGAAGGTCAACGTCAAACCACACTGGATGCTGCACATGTCTCTGCTTTGGGATGCATTTCCAGACTATATAATTTCGACACGGAGACAAAACAAAGGAAGGGGAGGATCGATTGGGATCTTAAAGGTTTGTGCTCATATTTGGGACTAATCACGGAGTTGAATTAACTGGAGACTGGCGGGTAGAAAATGAAGCAAAGGAAAGGTTTTTACAGAGAGCGAGGCAATGCATAAGTAAACAGAATCAGCATCATCAAGCCCTGGGCAACTGTCATTTCTGGCAGCCGCGCTCTGGCAGTCCGTGTCTCGTATTACCAGTGTGCCAGAGGCGTCACCTGCCGCCCTTCATTATTCAGCCGCCACACACCCTGCCTGCCTTGTTTGCTGATGTAGCTGTGCGGCTTGGCAGGTCTGCTTTTCTCAAAGTTGTTACACCCCTCTTCTCTATGACATTTCAAGGATGTAAAAATAGTCCCCAAAGAATCCATTTGTGAGATTTCCAACATTCAGGTTTCCGTGAGGGGGCGAAAGCTGGCCTAAGATAATGGCTTGTTTAGTTTTATTTTTCTAAGATACCAATTAAACCACACATTACAGATATCACTGGTCTTTCCTCGTTCCCTTTGCTGGGAGGTATATAATCTTTGGCTCCAAGATTGGCTACTTTAGAGATCTAGTCTACAAACCAGTTTACTTACCAAAGATGAGCTAATGACTTTAATCTGTTCCAAAGCTTCTGTCAGGCTGTCCTCAATCTCGGCATCATCTAAAGAGAAGAGGTCCCCAGCTCTTGAAAGATCTTTTTGTCCCAAAACCAATCTGAAAAGTTGATGCATGGTGAGTTGGATCAGTTGGCTTTCTGAGGACCCAGGGCCATGCTCAGCTCTCCGCCGTCAGAGAGAGAAAACCATGCAGCCATAGGTACACTTCATATTCCACAAAGGGCCATTGTCCTCCAGACTTTGGGGTCTCCTCTGGCAGTCTCTGTAACAGGAACAAATGACACAGTGTGGACAGTGGCAGCGTGGCAGATGGCATGAGCTCAGAATGTGACCTTGATAGCAGGGGCAGGGAGGAGAGGGCAAAGGAGAGGGAGAGAGAAAGTGGGGAAGAGAACTGGAAAGCCATGCATAGAGGAATTAACTCTTGTTTGGTGGTATCTGAATAAGCTCCTTCTTATTATTATTTTTTTTAATCTCAGAAAATTTTTTCTTTCAGAAAATATCAGATTTCTCCAGAATTAAATTTGAAGCTTTGAAAGAGCAACACAAGACTCACACTTTTTTCCTGAACTGTCTTTTCTACGCCCCCGCCCTGCTTTTCTCCGTGAGGCAGGTAAAGAAGAGAAAGAGCAGGGAATAAGTCCAGTGCTTGCTGGATCCCCTGCAGGCAGAGCCCACGGGAATTCAGCACAGTGGAGGCTGAGGGAAATAGAGAGCATAGGAAGCATTCTTTAGAGCCACTGTTCGGGGCTCAGCCCACCAGAACCTGACAGAGAGACTAGCTTACTCTCTTGGCTGCACGTCCCAGCTGTATGGCAATGGAAGTCCCTCCTTCCTTCAGTCTACAGAGTCATCTCCTCACTTCAACCCTGTGCACTCTAATCAAATAGCCATGAGATAGAGGGCTTCATCTCGGTGTGTGGGTTCGGGAGATCTCTCCTGAAATTGAACTTGAGTGCTGACGTAGAACATGACAGTATTGCAGGGCAGGCTAGACAGGAAAGCCTTTGGGATCAGGTATCCTCCCTCTGTTACTCAGTTGGAATAAGACAATTTCACTTCACTTCTCCACTATGTAACAGAGTTCACAGAGAATAGAGCAAGGTGACAAGTTGGATACCTGGTTATTCTCTTCAGTTCCCTTCCGGAGCTAATGGAATTATAGACTGTTTGCATTAGTAGAGATTTCAGCAGTCATTTGGTGGCCAGTGATGTTTGATGATTTCCTCAAGGTCCCTTAGTTGTGGGACTAATATCCTGCTTTGGGGTGAGCAGACTTTCCACCATAGTTTACAGTGAAGTGGAAACTCTTCCTTCATGAAAGCAATTGATAAGTGTAGCCGTTTTCTCAGAGAATAAGAGCCCAGAGTGCGGCACTTAAGAGCAGTAGATGATTCTGACCATCATTTCAGTGTGAATGAGTTTCCCAGAACGAGAGGGAGAAGAAAGAGGACTCTGTGGTCCCTTGGGTACTCTCAGATCTCCCCTGGGAGCTACTGCTGTGGGAGCACCTCTCTATGCTGTATGCAGTCTTAGCGTTCAAGATGCTTATCCTCTGTTTACTGTGTATCTAGACACAAGCCAAATCTTTCCTGGAATATTCAAGCCAATCTATCTGCAGTATTTCAATTATTCATGGGCCCTTTTTAGGGATTTCAAGGGCATTCTTATCTATTGATGTATAATTTTTATACTATGTTCCAGCCTTAGAAAAATAAGGTTCACTCTGGCCAGAAAAACAGGCAGGCTAACACATCAGATCTTCACCTCTCCATCAGCTACTCCAAATCCAATCCCCCAGTCTCAGTCTCATGCCAACCCCACCCCGCCACCCCTGCCTCAAGCCTTCATCTCCAGTAGACTACACAGATGTGCCCCTCCTAGCCTTCCCCCACCAACTCTTTGCTTTTTCCCACCCCCAACTACTCCAGCCAGGGAAGCAGGTAGGCTAGCGGTAGATCTGCACCTCTCCTTCTGTTCCTTCAAATACAGTCCCCCAGCCTTGTCCCCAGTCCTGCCATAGAACACCTGCTTCAGCCTCCCTTTACCCTCATCTCCAGTAAATCCCATAGATCTTCCCCTCCTACCCCTCCCCAAACTATTTGCTTTGTCCCAACCCCCAACTCCAGCAGGACCCTGGGAAGCCATAGGACACATTGACTAGGCAAGCAAGTATGCTTACTGCAGATCCTCATCCTTCCCTCCATTTCTCCAAGTCCAATCCCTGGGTCTCACACCCAGCTCAATAGTAGACCTTCTGCTGTGACCTTTCTTCACTGTCTGGCCCCATTCCCAGGAGACAAACTAAACAGATCTCTGGTTTCTTCCCTCCTGTGAACCCCCTCAACCCACCCCAACCCATCCCCATTCTGCAGTGTCAGCTCCCAATACCCAGAAACACATTTTACCTAGAACCCCCAGTTCCTGCACCAATAATAATAATAATAATAATAATAATAATAATAATAATAATAATAATAATAATTTCCTACCAGGCAATACACAGCCACTATACTCTCCTAAGAACCAGAGAGGATAACAAAAACTAAGTAACAAAACACCCGCTCAACAAAGACAAGACCAGATATCAATACCTAGAAATTACAATCTTCCCAATCCATGATGTCCAGATTCCAGTGTAAAAACACAATCAATAATAGTCAGGACAACATGTCTCCACTAGAGCCCAGCAATCCTGTCAGAGCAGGTTCTGAGTATCCAACATAGCTGAAACACAGGAAAAATACCTTAAAACAGGCTTTATGAATATTATAGAGATATTTAAAGAGAAAATGAATAGGTCCCTTATATGAAAACACAAACATTTGAAAGAAAATGAATAAAACAATTCAAGACCTGAAAGTGAAACTGAATCAATAAAGAAAACCCAAACTGAGGGAAATCTGAAAATGAAAATTTTGGAGCTCGAACAGAAACCACAGAGGCAAGCTTTACCAGCAGAATACAAGAGATGTAGAAGAGAGAATATTAGGCATTGAAGACATAATAGAATAAATGGATACCTTGGCCAAAGAAATGTTAAATCTAAAAAGCTCCTGGCACAAAACACCCATGAAATCCGGGATACTATGAAAAGACCAAATCTAAGAATAACAGGACTAGAAGAAGGAAAAGAAACCCAGGGCAAAGGCACAGAAAATATATTCAGCAAAACCATGGGAAAAATTCCCTAACTTAAAGAAGGAGAGGCCTATCAACATATAAGAAGCTTACAGAACACCAAATAGACTGGATAAGAAAAGGTAATCCAAACACTAAACATACAGAAAAAAAAGAAAGAATATTAATGGCGTCAAGAGAAAAAGACCAAGTAACATTATGATGACTTTTTTGTTGTCAACTTGACTAAATCTATAATTAACTAAACCCCCCCAAATGACTGGGCACACATGTCAGGGTTTTTTGCTTAATTAAATCATTTGAATCCACTTCTAATCTGAATCTTTGAGGTGGGAAGACATATCTTTAACCCAGATATTTTGAGATGGAAAGACTCACCTCTAATCTGCTGGAAGCTGATATAAAGAACAAAGAAGCCTTGCTCTTAACCCACTTGCTCTTGCTCTCACTAGCAAGTCCCTTCTGTCACTGGCACTATAGCCCACTTCTCTGGGATTCAAGATACTGAAGACCAGCTTATATACTCTGAAGACATCCAGTGGGATGAAGAACTACTGGATTCTTGAACTTCCTGTTCATAGGAAGTCATTACTGTATTAGCTGGACCACAGCCTGTAAGTCATTCTAACAAATCCTATATCCATCTATCTATCTATCTATCTATCTATCTATCTATCTATCTATCTATCTATCTATCTACATAGATATAGATATGTGTGTATATGCATGTATGGTATGTATAGATTCATTCTACAAGGTAAGGTCTGTTTATTGTGGGGAACCCTGACTAATATAAACACCTATACCCCAAACACAAGAACACCAAAGTTTGTAAAAGAAACCCTAGTATAGCTTAAATCATTTATTGATCCTCACAAATTGATAGTGGGAGACTTCAATACCCCACTCTTGCCAACAGACAGGTCATCCAGACAAGAACTAAAGACAAAAATGCTAGAGCTAACTGATATTATAAATGAAATGGACCTAACAGACATTTACAGAACATTTCACCCAAACACAAAAGAATATATCTTCTTCTCAGTACCTTATGGAACTTTCTCCAAAACTGACCACATACTCAGACACAAACCAAGTCTCAACAGATACAAGAAAACTGGAATACCTCCCTGCATTCTATCAGACTATGAAGGACCAAAGCTGGATATCAACAGCAGAAACAAGAGAAAACTTACAAACTCATGGAAACTGAACAACTCTCTACTGAACAAAAAATGGGTCAGGACAGAAATTAAAAAAAGAAATCAAAGACTCTCTAGAATTGAATGAAAATGAACACAGACCATACTCAAACTTATGGGACACAATGAAAGTTGTGCTAAGAGGAAAGATCACAGCACTAAACGCCTACATTAAAAAAAAAAAAATTGGAGAGATTTCATTCTAGCAACTGAACAGCATACCTGAAAGCTCTAGAAAAAAAATCATATCTAAGAGGAGTAGATGCAAATAAATAATTAAGCTCAGGGCTGAAATTAATAAAACATACAAAACAGCAACAAAACACCACAAAGATTCAATGAAATAAAGAGGTGGTTCTTGAGAAAAATCAGTAAGAATGACAAATCCTTATTCAAATTAACTATAATGTAGAGAAACAATATCCAAACTAACAAAACCAGAAACAAAAAAGGGCCCATAACAAGAGACATTGAGGAAATCCAGGGAATCATAAGGACATACTTTAAAAAAGCTATACTCTGCCAAACTGGAAAACCTAAAAGAAATGGATAATTTTTTTTTCAATACATACCACTCACCAGAGCTAAATCAAGATCAGATAAGAAAATTTAAACAGACCTACAACCCCTAGTGAATTAAAAGCAATCATTAAAAGTCTCCCAACCAAAACAAAACAAAAGAGCCCACAGCCAGATGGTTTTAGCGCAGAATTCTACCAGAGTTTCAAAGAAGAGTTAATGTCAGTACTCCTCAATTCATTTCACAAAATAAAAACAGAAGGAACATTGCCCAATTCATTTTATGAGGCCACAGTTACCCTGATACCCAAACCACATAAAGACCTAAAAACGAAAGAAAATTATAGACTTATTTCCCTTATTAACATAGATGCAAAAATACTCAATAAAATACTTGCAA